CGACTTCCCTGCCCTGCCCTGCCCAAATGACATCCCTGCTCCCGGGGGTTAATCTATCTCTCCCTCTCACTTTTTCTATTTTGTCTTCCATATTCAGCCTGACTCCTAGCCAAATGATGTTCGTTTCATAGAGTCTCCGCGATTTTACATCTTAGTCTAGTATGACAGAAATTGACAGCGAAAAAATTTTAAAAAAAAACAACATACATTTTCATACCGGAATTATATGACTATATATTTACTGAGCATTTTAAAGTAAGATGTTTTGCTTGTTCAATCAAATCATAGGCCACAAGCGCACAAGCTCTGCTGCCAAACAGATGAAGCGAACTTTGAACTTTCCAGAGATTTTGAGCCTGGTGACGAGGCCTTTGATCAGCGGTTAATATATGGGCGTTAGCAACCAGTCCTCCTCCTCCCGTTGCTCCGATTGCGTCTGTTTCGCCGCCTCTGATTCCTCATGGGGATACACGCGTGCTTACAATAAGAGATAACCGAAGTCTATGTTTACATTTTCTCACGGGGGTGGATTCTTAAACTGTGAACGGCTCCAAAACTAAGCATTATGGTGTCCCCGGGGAAGCTATGGCTCCTGCGCCCATGTCCCTGTCGGGTGTCGCCCCTGCAGAGTTTCACCCATGAGTGGGGGGGGGGGCATAAATAAGCTGATCTTTTTTCCCTTTTTGTTTTCAAGGGCATTTTAAACCTGCTGTTCATCAATTTGAGCGGGCGTCAGGTGGAAGGGACATGGGCGTGCAATGTGGTGACGAGGAGCAGAAGCGTAGCGAGGGGGGGGCAGGGGGGGACATATGTTCCCGGGCGCCAAATGTGCTTTGCTGTTATTTTATTGATGAACATAATGGGTTTGAGAGTTGAAAAAAGAAAAGGGGGTGCTTTAAAATGAATCGTATCCCTGGGCGCGAATCTTGTCCCCGGGCGCCAAACACTCTCGCTACGCCTCTGACGAGGGGGTGTTATTTTCGGGTGTCAAAATCAGAGGTCACAAAAATAATTTTTTGTCAAAGTTTGAATTTTTAAAGACATGCTACAATTTCACACAAAAAATAGAACCTATACGGAATCATTCTACCCGTTGGTGATGTTTGAGTGTTTTTCTTCTGGGATGATTCAGTATTTTGTCTGTGATGTCTGAGTTGTTTTTTTTTTTTTAAATCTGGGATGTTTGAGTGTTTTGTCTCGTATGATTGAGTTTTGTGGCTGGTATGAGTGAGTGTTTTGTCTGAATGTAAAGTGATACATGCATGGTGTATGACTTTATATTAGGTAATGAAAGGGTGTTGAGGTACCCGGTAGTTGCTTTTGTGATGTGGACGGTGATTTAGGCAAATGTTGGGAAGTGATGTGATGAGTTTGTGGAAGTGGTTGTTGTAATTTTTTTTTTTTTTTAAATCGATGGTTGATTGGACGCTTCACTTTCTCACATACGCTCCTTTTAAATTTACCATTAATGAAACAGACCCCTTAAGAAATGAAGCTGACCCCTTATTTTAATGAAGCTTATTCCTTAATTAAGCTGAACCCTTAATGAAGCTGATCCTTTAATTAAGCTGACCCCTTATGAAGTTGGTTCCCTGAGTCAATGCCTTAATTTATTTAATATTATTTAACTGGACTAAATGTGCACCACCCTTTAAAAAAAAAAAATTAAACTTTAAAATAAAATACCGATTATGACCTTTTCCTATTGTTGATCAAATGACGTACTGGGGGATTTTTTAAATTACATAATCATTATGAATTTCCGATTTTTATTTCACCGATTTTCCCGATTAATTCCAGTAACACCTGAATCAAATTCTTGATTCTAACGTGTCATCTAAACTGAAAGTTGTTCACTTTACAATCTAGAATGACAATCGCTGACAGAAATAAAACCCCCGCAGGTATTTTAACATTTATCTTTTTATATATTTCTCTAGTCGCGTTGCAGAATTGGGATCAGTTGATGGACTGTAAGAGCCAGAAAGAGAGTGACAGAGTGGTGTACCGTACCATGTGTCAGTGTATCCAATACTGATATAATAATATTATTAATATGCTATAGGCCTAACATTGCGTGTTTTGTTATCACGTAAAGTAAAGCAAGCCAAAAAAAAAAATAAAATAATCCAAGCAACAACAACAATTAGCAACAGCATTTTCTGTTTGAAAAAAACAAAACAACATAAGGTAAATAATAGCTTAAGAAGTGTTTGTTTTTTCCCTTCTAATTTTTTACTATTTATTATTTCTGCCAACTCTGTTCATGGTTATCTTATTACTATGATTATTCACTGTGGGGTCGTCCATTAATTACGTCAGTCAACAATTTTTGGCAATTTTGACCCCCCCAACTTTCCATGCCCCCCCCCCCTATTTAATTATGGCAACATTTTCTAACCCCCACCCCAACCCACAAAAAAAAAAAAAAGGAATTATATTATGCATAAATTTATAAATACATTTTACTTTGTGCTGATCTATTTAATGACGATAAAATTGTAGGAAAAACATTTTATTACATCGTTAGCTTGTTAATCAACACGTTAAAAAGTATTTACACTTAAATTTTATAATGCAGAATCGATTGAAAGGTTGTTAAAGACTAAATATCAATGTTTGTGCTATAAATATAATTATTGTCAGTAAAGCTGACAATTATAGTATAGTGTCTAGCTGCTACCCTTTGCTCTATCGTATTGATGGGCATCAGGGACATCATTTGGGTAGGGCATGGGGCATTTGCCCCCACCCCCTAATTTGGAGGTTTTATTTAAATTGCTATGTACTGTGGCACCTCCAGTAATAAACAACCTAGCAAGCCGACCAAGTTATCGACACTCATATACCAGACAAGGCAACATCATCCTCATCGAACTATTCAGTACTTAAAATAGAAGCATTGTCAATTAGCAATAATATAATTGCCATAAGCTCTCTATATCTTCTTGTAGCTACTCGCATTGGTCGAACCCTTTTTTGTTGAGGAGCAGGTGCTAATTTCTTATGTTTAAGAAGGCACTGTCGGTTCTGTTTTTAACATGACTTGTGATGCAAAATAGATGTTACAGATTTTGCTAATCCGTTCAAGCAGCGATGTTATTATTGTTACTCACTTTACATTCATCTAATTCTCAAAGTATCGTATTCCTACTCTATCGATATTCTTTATCTTGACGGCACATGACACTTGAACCTTGTCCTTGTTCCTTACCTGCAACAGAATCTACAGGTGAAGAGAGGCCACATTTTGACATCTTTTGGATTAACAAAGTGTGCTAACATTCTGACCAGCCATCTGCAGTGCACAGACACACATTAAATAAATGTTATATTGTTAAAAGCCTAAAAATTATATGACTATTTACACTCATTTAAACTTATATTTTTAAAAAAATAATGTAATAACCAGTAAATTTTTATGATTAAAATTTTAATAGAGAAAACATGATTGTTGACGCCCCCTCCTTGTCAACAACTGTCAAACATTTCGACCCCCCCCCCAACCTATTTTTTTTTGACGTAATTATTGGACGCCCCGTTTATTGTTTCACATGATGTAGCCTAGTCGTATCGATAATTGAATTGTTTTTCTGGATATCACATGAACTTCATACAATCTCAGCATTAACATTCAGTGTATTTATTATATATGTGAATATCCCAATCTTGCCATAGTAAAAAAAAAAAAGAACAAACACATGTTAAAGTGAACACATAAGAAAATGATTACAAGCACTTTTAAGATTCCGCTTTTAAGTTCTTCACGCTTGACGCCATTCCCATCAGACACAAGACATCCATTCTCACGCTTGACGCCATTCCCATCAGACACAAGACATCCATTCTCACGCTTGACGCCATTCCCATCAGACACAAGACATCCATTCTCACGCTTGACGCCATTCCCATCAGACACAAGACATCCATTCTCACGCTTGACGCCATTCCCATCAGACACAAGACATCCATTCTCACGCTTGACGCCATTCCCATCAGACACAAGACATCCATTCTCACGCTTGGCGCCATTCCCATCAGACACAAGACATCCATTCTCACGCTTGACGCCATTCCCATCAGACATAAGACATCCATTCTCACGCTTGACGCCATTCCCATCAGACACAAGACATCCATTCTCACGCTTGACGCCATTCCCATCAGACACAAGACATCCATTCTCACGCTTGACGCCATTCCCATCAGACACAAGACATCCATTCTCACGCTTGACGCCATCCCCCACCAGACCCAATACATCCATTCTTTTTGTGTCAGCGCCTTTGAAAAGAGTAATTTTGTATACCCTTGGACCCAAAAATTTCAATTGTCACTTGAGAGTTTGATAAGCTTTAAAAAAAAAAATTTGTTTTTTGCATTCCCTAAAGAGCAAAAATGGGTGACAAGACGACAGAAACTCTGGACAAATGGCTGACCAGACTTTTATCAGGTGGACTCTGTCCAGGTTTGGAAATGGTAGATGTCGAGCAGCTCATATTCCACATTCCTTGGAGGAATGAGAAGCGTGGTGGCCTCAAAGATGGCGGCAACGACACTAAGTTCCTACGCCTTTGGGCCGAGCATAAAAAATATACGATCAAAGACGGGGGCAAGGAGGAGAGGAGACATTGGAAAGAAAAATTTCGTAACGCTCTGAACAAATGCAAAGATCGCGTGACCAAGCTGGAGGATGACAGGAAGGGTTCCATGATCTGTCAGTTTAAAGATGGCTCCCTCCCACTGGGGAATGAGACGACGCTTTCGGGGTGTAAGAGAAAAACAGAGAGGAATTCGTTAGTCTACGAACAAAATGGCGGCACGAAAACGTTACGAATTACTGAAGGCGATAAAAGGACGACAACCTTTGGAATGGCGTCGTCCAACGACAGATGCACAGAGTCTTTCAATCAGTCAATGACACTTGATGAAAATATATTTCCTTTTAGCGACACAGCTGATGAATTTGTACCCCCTTTCAGCCCACCGATGCTAACTGATGAATATGCACCTACATACAGAAAGCCATTAATAGCTGATGAATATGCACCTACATACAGAATGCCATTAATAGCTGACGAATATGCACCTACATACAGAATGCCAGTAACAGCTGATGAATATGCACCTAAACTCAGAACGCCAGTAGAAAATGATGCAAATGTATTTCCTTCCAGCCACTCAGCTGATGAAAATGCACCACCTTTCAGACATTCAGTGACAGCTGATGAAAATGCACCACCTTTCAGACATTCAGTGACAGCTGATGAAAATGCACCACCTTTCAGACATTCAGTGACAGCTCATGAAAATATGCCTCGTCAATCACCGATGACCATGCGCACACAAACAGTGAACCACTTCAGTCAGCCGGGGGCAGCTGCCGTCAGTGAAGGTGCGACAGTCTCAATCGAAGTCATGTACAATAAGCACCGAGTAGCTGTCGGATATCTAACTCCTAGATCCACGAGCTGTAGAGTTTTCTCGGACATTTACGCTCTCCCGGACCCACTAAAAGAAAGATTTCGGGGCAGCGAAGAAAGCCTAGAATTGAAACTACCGCCAGTCGATGGTCTCCCTAATGTCGTCGGAGAAATGAAGGAAAAGATTTGCGAGATTCTCGAAGACATGGAACGGGGCGTAATTGTGACGTGCGCCAACAGAGACACCATTGTTGTCCAAAGGAATTGTTCGATAAGATGTTTCTTATTTGATGGGATTTCGAAATCCGAAAGAGTGCCAAGAAGAGAAGGCAGACACGAAGAACCAGTTTTAATCGAAGCGTTCGATTTCCAAGAATTTTACAAATCCGTTTCAAGTCATATGACCAAAAACACTCAATGTCCTAAGCCGTATGTCTTTTTAACCATCGGCCACGAAGCCGATACCAGTGATCGCCGTGACCCTCTCTTTAAGGTTCCGGTTTTCATCAAAATAACTCACCAGCTGGCCGACAAGTACCTACACATGGCCCTCGGATGTGCGGAATCGATTCCAAATCCAATGTTGTCAGGTTTTACCTCTCTGGACCATGCGTTGAATTTTTTGAATGACGCAGAAAGCACATCGAATTCTAACAGGCATCTCGGTGAGCTCTTTCTCCAAAAGTCTGATGAAAGTCTAGTACCCTCTGATTTCAATGGCAACCTACCACAGGCAATAATGGAACGCAATGCTCCCGGCCAACAGGGCCCTGATATGAAGCCGCTCAATGATCCACACAGAAATATACAGGTCCAACCTGTTGGCGGTGCGAGACAAGTTCCCGGAGAGCTGCATGTGACGATATTTTACGGAGTCCCCCACAAACAAGTCAAATCTGAGACAATACAAGCCGGAAGTTGTTGCCGAATTTTCGCTCCAGATGTAAGCCTTCCCGTTTTACAATTTCTCGACGACGCTGGCGACGGGGTTGCTGATGTGCAGTTACCTCCCGTGAAGACGGTCAACGATCTGCTGGGCGAGAGCCAGACTAAGCTCAATGAAATCCTTACCTATATGAAACGGGGCGTGATCATCAAGCGTGACTCTGGTGGCATCTACGTCGAGAGGAGGTGTGTCGTTAGGGTTTTCTCGACCGATGGCAGGTCCCCATCCAAACTTCTTACACGAGGGCGGACGTTTGAGAAGGTGTTTGACGGCCAGCAATTTCTCACGGAGCTGCGCGACCACATCGGGGATGATAGAAAGCCTCGACCACAGGATGAGGTCATTTTAACCCTGGGCAATCCTATCAATCCCGAGGATGATTTCCCTTTGAGGAAGGTCCTCGCATACATCGTAATTAAAGACACCAGGTCGACACGAGCCATTCACGAGGCCATGGCAGCAACCGGTCAGTCGTCGGAGGCCAAGTTTTCTTTGATGGACTCCATGGATGCAGTCACGAAGACCTTCAAAGACCTGAATCTGAAAGCATGACTACAGTAAGTTATTTAAAAGCTCTTGGGATTTCCCGGATGTGCTTACCGTTTAAAACTATACCTGGGGCTAAAATATAAAACTATACGTTTAGAAAGGCCAATAAACTACAGGCCTGCCTTGAGTTAGAATACAAAATTGTACCGTGAGCTACAATAAAACAAAAAGATATCGTATGATAGAATTAAAGGTCATATGCTCAGGGAGCAGGCTTGATATATTTATATAAAACTATATTTTTTGTAATGTATCAAACTGTACCTTTAGACATAATTTAGCCTAAAACTATTCAAGATATGTAATATAAAACTGTACCTTGAAACAGAATATAACACTATACTATTATATAATGTATGGTGATGTTCCAGTCGCACTAATAATTCATAATGGATGGAGTGAGTCATGGGTCTTTCCCCGTACAGATTATGACGTCCCGCTTTTAAAGGAGTTTGAATATTGCCTTCACGCTTTTAAAGGGGTTTGAATAGTGGTATAGTCGTAAAATAAGCAACGCCACGTAACAATGCCGCAGACTACACATAGTAAAAACATTAAGATAGGCCTACACATTACGGTAAATCAAAGTAACGAAATTGGACTTGAACATTGGCATGGCTTGACTCCCATGTTATAGAGTGGCGTGGATGACCACAGTCATCGGTGCAATGACCTCGACAGCCGTGATAAATTATGTCGAAAAAGTAGACAATGGGGTGGGGGGGGGGTCCTGAGAATTAGGGGTGGGGGGGATTCGGGGAAGCTGGAAGGAACGAAAACTAGTTGACGAGGAAAGATTAGCTTAGTAATGTTCTATAGGAAACTGTTTTTCCTATAGACGTAGTGTAGGAATTCGATTTCCATGGGATAGGACTATTTTAAAGCTAGTAAACGAAAAGGTTATAACCCATCACATTAGTGAACCGAATGAATTTGTGTGCATTTACTAAAGAAGCCCCAGGTGTGCATTTACTAAAGAAGCCCCAGGTGTGCATTTACTAAAGAAGCCCCAGGTGTGCATTTACTAAAGAAAGCCCCAGTGCAGTGCAAAGGGGGCACTCGCCCCGGACGTCAACATCAGATAGGGTGCAAAAATCGTTGTTTTTTTTTAGATAGGATCTTAATAGTAAGTTAAACGATGAAATCCCATGAACTTCACAAAGACAAGGGGCGCCAAAAGTGTCTTTTACTTGTTCAAACCGGAAGGATGTTTTTCTAAACTATATACTGCAGGGCGCCCTTTTCAGGCCGGGTGCCGCTTTTCCTCGGCACGGCCCTGCACAGGCCCACAGACAGTGGCGTTGCTAAGGTGGGTGTCACCCAGTGCGGTAAACTGATGGTGTCATCCCTATCCCCCCCCCCCACTTCCGCGATGAATTTCTTCTTGTTCAAATAAGGCCACCTTATTACACTGTCAGTAACAAAACCAAATTAATTGAATGTTTTTTTCTAAAATATATACTGCAGGGCGCCCTTTTCAGGCCGGGGGCCGTTTTTCCTCGGCCCGGCCCTGCCCAGGCCCACAGACAGTGGCGTTGCCAAGGGGGGTGTCACCCAGTGCGGTAAACTGATGGTGTCATCCCTATCCCCCCCCCCCCCCACTTCCGCGATGAATTTCTTCTTGTTCAAATAAGGCCACATTATTACACTGTCAGTAACAAAAACAAATTAATTGAATGTCAGGAGGTAAATGTATTTAAGAACTGTAACATGTACTTAGAATCGCCCATTGGTATCAATGGAAAGCTTTATTATTAAGAATTTAGATAAATACAGCGTCCTGTAACTGAAGAGTTACCGAACACGAGTTTATCCTGCGTTAAATCATGGTGAAAACAGTGTTTTTCTGACCTATATATATCTGATCATCTCATTTCTGACTCACTTGGATTGGTTACATGTGTGGTCAATTTAAATATCGGTTATCCTTTTATGAAGTTCGGTTAGACCAAGCAGTGTGTGCTCTGGAAATGTGCGACTTTTAAATTTGGTGTCACCCCATGGATGGTGCAACCCGGGGCGGTCCCCCCCCCCCCCCCCCCCCCAGCTCAGACACTGCCCACATTTTAAGATAAGAGTTTGAAGGATAATTAAATTGAAAAACCGCATGAAAACCGCCATGTCTTAAAAAAAATTCTTTGTTGGGGTTGGGGTGGTGGTGTTTAAAGTTTACGAAACCGGTAGCCGTAGCTTTATTGAAGCTGAGGCGAAATCAAAATTTGTGTGTATGTAAGTGTAAGGGTGCTAACTTAATTTAAATGTATGTGACAATTTGTGTGGGAGGGGGCAGGGGTAAAAAAAATTGCCAAAAAGCACGACGTCATTTTGAAAATTTCCCCTAATTTGTACACGTTTTAAAAAAAAAAAAGACACATTTTAACTACTTTTAATAATAAGTAAGTTATGACCACAGTCTATGGTTATGTCGGTTAAGTATGACCATATTATCCATGGTTCATATCCATTTCTGAAAAAGATTAGACGATGTTATGAAATATCGGAAATTTCCATTTGTTAAATTTAGAAAAAAATTATTTTTCATAAAAAAAACAACAACAGTAGCACATTGTTGAACTTTTAAGGCTTAACACTAAATGTAATATTTAAATTTTTACAACTCTTTATTTTTTGTTTGTTCAGAAAATTGTAACATCGAATCGGATTTGAGACCATTATTGCCTACTAATGGGGAATTTATTTGGGAAATTCCTGTTTTAGTATCGAAGGCATACTTAGATAAAATTTTAGTCTCTCAATCTGGTATCGTAAATTATATATTTACCCAATCACCTCTAAAATATATTCTACGTTAGTTCTAAAACTTAAGCTATCTTATAAACGTTATTTAAATATATACAATTAATTATTCTGCCAGATGACTTTTAATAGTTAAATTTATAAATTCAAAGTCATTATGTAATTATGAAGTATCCCCTAAAGTATTAAGATCGAATTTCATTTACGTGATGTATTGAGTTTGAACGAATACAAAAAACTCAGCACTCAGCACAGAACTCAAGAAAAAGTGAAACCTCACAAATCTCTATATACATTTTTAATTTTTACGAGCATAACTTCAAACTCTAAGTTATATCTACCGTCTTATAAGGTAATATTTATAATAGTAATTGGGCTAAATCTGAGAACGATTGCCACGGTGTCTTTTGGGTGTTTATTATATTTATATATATAGTTGCAGTGAATTTTAGGGTTTAGGTTAGGTTGATGAGGGATCGATTTTCTGATTTAGGGTTCAGGTTAAGCATAGGCATAGGCATAGGGATCGATTTGGGGTTCAGGTTAGGCAAAGGAATGGATTTAGCAATACATTCGTGAAATTCGATAAAATAGTGGCATTCGTCCTTAAAATTTACCGGCTAGGCGGCATAGGGGTGGGTCGATTTAGGGTTCAGGTCGGCATAGGGATCAAATTAGTACATTCAAAATAGTGGCATTCGTCCTCATAATTTACCAATAATTGCTATTACAGGCCGCCACTGAGGCGTAGAAAATGGGTGTAGTGACATTGACAGTCGAGAGAATTTATGTCAAAATGTGGAGACGGGAGTCATAGAATTAGGACTACCACGTGAAATGGGATGGAACGAAAAAAAAATGGTTGACCAGGGGGTGGGGGGATCTTAGTAAATGCTCCAGGGCAGGGATTCTTAACCTTTTTCCAGTGCTGCAGACCCACTCCATTTTAAATATTCCCCCATGCCCCCTAAACCATACAAAATAAAAGTTTAAAATATGAAAATAATAAAATAATTTAGTTATCATAGTTTTATTTCTTTAATTAACTTTTTATAATCAAGTAAAAAATTACCAATACAAGTAATGTGCAATCAAAATTCACCAGAAAACATTTACTGCTGCGAATCAAAATGCATAAAAACTAATATTTTTTAAAGCAGCAACAACTAGCAATGGCAGCAAATACAATTTTCTGGTATTCGGCACCTTAGGGATTGGGGAGGTACTTTAACGCCTTGTTAAGAACCACTGTTTTAGTGAAATGTCTGACACAGGTGCAGTAATTTGATATCCATGGGAGGTGAATTTCTTAAGGGTTTGTAAAGGGCAGTAGTGGACACAGGAAATTTTTATAGGGTGAGGGTTGCAGAGATTTGTGATGTTATATTTGAGGGGGGTCTAACTTTTTGTATCGATTTGTGACAAAGGGGGAGGGGGGATAAAAAATCTGCAAAATTTTCGGGACGTCTTATGGATGACCCTTAAGAGGGAAAAAAGGTTGTTATGCAGTAAGCTTCATGCACGATGTCCAAATTCCTGTAAATAGATTGATTTTTTCGTTTATACAGGAATTTAAAAAAAAATGTCCCTGTTTTTTTCTTCTATCTTTCTTCTGGTTCCATCCACAACACAGAACTGGGTCATGGGCCGTCCTTTCACTTCGGGCATGTTTTTTTGCCATGACAGCAGCCATGTAAAAAATGGGGAGGGAAATATGAGACGGTGTGTCACTGTAGAAAAAAACAACAACATTTTTTAAAATTTTCAAACAAAACATTTAGTGATACATTATGTCCATAGCAAATTTATTGTATCCATCTAGATATTGGGCAAGAAGTGTTAACAACCTGTGGAAGCCCCCTTGCCTGACATAATATTAGCTGGTACATTAATTTCACGGGTAATGTTACTCCTAAATATGAGGCAAGAGTGGTCAAAGACCTAACGTAATTTCAGTTGGTGCATTAATTTCCCTTCCCTCAAGTATTACTAAAACACATGTGCTATAGTTAAACTCTGTGGTGAGAAACGCTTGAAAATAAAGAAAAAGAATACACAATTTGTTTAAAATATTCAAAATAATGAAAATTTAATTTACAGTTTCATCGAATACACTTTTACACAATTCATTAAAGATACAACCGAATTTAAAATCCAAGAGATGTCAGAGTGGTCTAAATCCATTTTTAAAATTATCAGATGGTCAGACCATCAAAATAGCCTTGTTTTGAAATATTACAATTAACCACGTGATAAAATATTAAGTTTAAAATGTCATCAATTAAAAGACATTCCATCTGCTTAAAAAAAAAAGAAGAAAAGTTAACTCTAGTAACCATAAAGCGTAAGCTAGCATCATCATTCTACATGCAAAATATGTGTATTAATGTATAGATTTTTGAGAGGTGAATGCCTAAATTTAGCCTTTGGCATATTCTTGAACCTAAGTCCTAACAGCTGAAACATTTGGCTAAGTCAGCTTAGATTCTGATTAAAATAATTTGTTTAAAACTGTAGGTTGAAACAGGGTTCTTAACCGTTTGAAGCAATTTTCCCCTGAAGTTTCCTCCAAATGTCTTTTTAAATACCACAGCTGTAATGATCAAGAAAAATATGAAGCAAATTCATGTCTTAGCTGTCTTTACTTATAAATTGATTAGTATTTCATTCTATTTTGTGAACTTTCAACTTTAATATAAGAATTTTTTTTTTTACATTAGGTAATCATGGGGGAAAGCAATGGACTGCGTCTGGAAAACTGGCTTAAAAAATTACTCAGAGATAAAATAGTTCCAGGGTTGGTGTGGATAAATGAAACTGAAGAGACATTCAAAATACCCTGGTCAAATCAAAAGAGTAGTGACTGGAAGCCTGACCAAGAGGATTCCAAAGTTCTTGTAGAGTGGGCAAAGCACAAGTATGATTTTAAAATAGGACAGAAAGAAGATCTTCCTAGATGGAAAACAAATTTGCGCTGTGCTATCAACAAGTCCCCAAATATTGAGAGGCTAAAAAACCAAGACACGAAACTTCACATGACATGTAAGTTTGTGAAACAGGCAAACACCATAAATGATTCTCCAGCGAGCTCATCTAGTCAAAACAGTAATGGATATTACTCATGTTTTGAAAACAGTAGTGAATATAACTATTATGTTGAAACTCCGGATGAGATGATCACAGACGTGGGGCAAGACTTTCTTCTAGACTCACCACCTGAGACCACTGAATCTTTGTTACCAACTTTTCTGCAGGTTTCTGAAATGCTCTCATTTGAGGGAATGCCAGAATCCAACAGCAATAGCTTAGCTGCTGATGATGATATTATGGAAAGTGAGAATCAACGCCTCACAAATCAAATAGTAGAATCACTAGATTATTTAACTGCAGAGCTACCACAAACTGCTAACATAGACTCAAATTCAGCTCTTTATGCAATGCAAGAATTTCCTCCAGATGGCGATAGAGTATTTGCTACTGCTTTGTCAGCTGAGCCTGCCACAAAATCCACTGAACCTGCCGCTCAATTAACTGAGCACGGCACTCAATCACCTGAGCCTGCTGCACCATCTGCTAAGGCTGCTGAGAAAGCCACTCCGATCTTCATACTTGAGGTGGGGTACGATGTACCACAACGGCCAGTCATGAGCATATCCATCTTCCCAACAACTCCAAGATGCAGAATATTTTCTGGACATTTTTTACGCAGAGCCATATTCAATGAAGTTATTCCACCAGACAAGGAGGAATTAGAGGTAGAGTTATGCTCTGTGGAAAATTTACCAGATCTGCAAGAAAAGAATAAACCAAAAATCTCTGACATCTTAGGCAAATTTGAGAGAGGCGTGGGGCTTTATTATGATGGAAATAATGATATTTGGGCAGAGCGCAGAAGTGCAATTAAAATTTATTATTCGGATGAACTCAGCTTTTCTGAACCTTTGCCTCGGAAGAAGCTGAGCGATTCTAGTTATGACAACTACATCAAGATTTTTGATTATAGTCAATTTCTCCAAGGTCTTACTGTGTATTATCAGCGTCAGGATCGAAGCCATTTTTGCCCTAAAGATTATGTACTTTTAACCCTGGGTCATGAATGCGAACTGAATGTTCCAAGCCCATTAAGAAAGGTACTAGTACACATTAAAGTACGTCACATACAAGCCACAAAAACTCTTATAGATTTATCTGGGGGTGAGGGAGCATCGTCTAATCCCAACTCCATGTACTCCCTTCCAGACTCCTTGGACAAAGCTATTTCAGGCATGGGTCAATTGGTCCTTAACCAACAAAATGATTCAATTAATGGTGTCTCATGATTTCTTAAAATAAGTTTTCCATTTTCCTTGAAAATTATACACCTTAAACTACCAAGAAAACTTGCAATTTACCACAAATTCCTTTACTTACCCCACTGAAATTCTTAAAAGTCTTGAAACCTTCAGCCATTGGGTCCCCTGAACTAATTTGTCAGAAATTATCAATAACTCATGTTCACCTTGATGTATCTCATTTGAGACTGGTATGAATGTTCAAATGGCTGCTTAATTTATGAAAAAAATGTTCAGTGTAATTTGTTAACATTAATTTGTATTGAAATAAGGTATAAACCCTGATGTTAATTGCCTGTAAGATATTTAAACTTAATTGAAAAGAAATTTTGATTTCAATGCAATATTTAGATGTGTAATTTGTTAGGACTACATTCCATTGCAAGTAGGGTAGGCCCACTTTCAGATTATTTAGATTGTACTGCAATAATTAAGAATGTTTGTAAAATATAAACAGTTAAAGAGTTAATGAAGTGGAATAATTTAAAATCTATTGACATAAAAATATTGTGATAACATTGTATATTACAAATTTAAGCTCATAATATATTTAAAAAATAATTTGTCATTGTTATTTAAAGACTTTTATCTGTCATGACAAGAGACTTTTTATATCATCATTTGATATCTGAAATTCCAAGAGAATTTTGAAGTCTTTTCAAATAGTTCAAAACTGTAACTTGTGTTTAGTTATCTGTATGACACCATATGATACATTTTTATTAAACTATGTAATTTTATTTAAAGCATTCATAATGCTATTATTAATTGCATTTTCTAGTAGAAAAATGTTACATTATCTTAAATTTGTATAAGTTTTGGATTTACACAAAGTAAAGCCAGTGTAGAATATTTATTGGTTAACCTGTTATTTAATTTTAAATCCCATTTTTAATAAATAAATGTACCCGGTACTTAAATATTTTAATACTTTTTTTATTAAAGATTCGTCTCCAGTGTAATGTATTTTATCGAAAAAAATTAAGATTAACTAAATTAAAATTGATACTATTTATAATCAAATCATTATTGCTTTACAACATTTAGTGATATTTCTTATCATTAAATCCTACATAATACGTTGTATTTTAAAATATTACATATAATTATAATAATTTCATTTCATGATTAGGAAAAACTATTAAATGTATTGGCTCCCCTTTGACAGTTCAAGAACTGTGTGACAAGGATAGATGAGAATAATATTTACTAGTTTCTTATAAACTTGGATAATAAAACTTTAAAAAAAAAAAAATGTTGATTAAGGATTGACAAGGTAAACAACTTAAAATTTGCTATTTCAGAATACGTATATTACTAGATTATCTCCCGCAATTTTAAATTCATAGTACCGGTATGTAACTGACTTGTTTTATTAGTGTCTATTTCTGGATGGAAGTTTTCTTAATTTGCCGATTTGGATTAACATAGTTGGTTATAAATTATAAACCGCTTATTTACGGTAGCTAAAGAGATTAATGGGGGACAGATTAACCGAAATATGGAAACAACGTTTTGATAATTGATGGTTTATAAGCTATTGCTGTAAATGGAAATGTAAGTATTTTGATGAAGACATTGTATAATCCAAATAAAGAAAATTTTATAAAATCCAACTGAATTCATATTATTTGTAATAGTATAGAATTTTTGTAGATTTGTTAAAAATGAGGTGTTTGTGTATTTACATAGATAGGCTAGAGATGTTTTTTAACGGTAACGGTAATTAAAATAGAATAGCCAAAATGTCTATTCTAAAGTAAATTATATTTCATTGTACTTTTTAAAAAAATCAATTAATTGGATACAAAGTAAAAGATATATATTAATTAATTGGACTACCCGGTACTGAAAGTTTTGCACACCTGGTGCGTTCGCATTTTACACCCTAGACCAGGGGTCTCAAAATCAAATTATCCGGGGGGGGGGGGGCAGCAGGAGATAAGAGTCTGATTGAGACTGGGCCGCATCAAGTATTCCACAAAGAAAACATGACAAATTCAATAAAGTAAAACTGTTATAAACTGCTCAATCTTTATTGATAACAAATAACAACATTAATAAAAAATGTTTCTCGATAACAAGGCTTCACTTACGTTCCTCTAACCCCTTGTTGCCAGGGACCTGGCAGCGCTTCTTCTTACACAGCTGAGCAAAATTTTGGCTTGAGTGAGCAAGCAGCTGAGACCCTCAGTACAGCTTGAAGATGCCCATTAGTAAGTTTGGCCCTGAATTTCGACATAATCCGCTTGAACAACCTGGAAATCTCAGGGAAGGTGGAGGTCAATTCTCTCATAAATTGTCCAACCTTGTCAGTTTTTCCATTCACCTCGCTGAACTTAGCCAGCTAGTTCAGAATTGCACTGAAGATCAATCAGCTCCATTGGAAGCGCAAAAAAAAAAAAAAAAAAAGGGGGGGGGGGGGGGCATCTTCCACACTGAAGGAGAAAGGGTCGGCAAACATTTGAAAATAGGCTGTGTGTTTTGAAGTCTGCAAACCTCCGATCAAATTCGAGCTTTGGCGATGTGGGTCTCATAAAATGCTATAAAATTTTAAAAAATTTAGTCTGATTTTTAAAAAGATTTCTACCATTATAATCAACGTCCAAACCTATAAGAACATAATAAAAATCACATTTCGACCAGTCGGTGAGATTCGACCGAAACCGTCGCGGAGGGTCACGTTCATTGTTTCTTTCAGACATTGCCCCCTCCCCCCCCCCGTTGGGTGGGGAGATTTCTTTTTTTTTTGGGGGGGGGGGGGGGGGCAGGGCCAGTGGGGGGTGGCTAGAGGTGGAGCTAAGGGGTGTCAGTTTTTCGACCAGTTGGTGAGATTCGACCGAAACCGTCGCGGGGGGTCACGTTCATTGTTTCTTTCAGACATTGCCCCCTCCCCCCCCCGTTGGGTGGGGGGATTTCTTTTTTTTTTGGGGGGGGGGTGGGGGCAGTGCCAGTGGGCAGTGGCTAGAGGTGTAGCTAAGGGGTGTCAGTTACGTCCCAGAGCGTAAGACTAGAGGGAGCACCAAGATAGGCTTTGATGGTATTAATGGAAAATAATTAGTTTCAGGGTAAAAAGGGGGGGGGGAGGGGACGTAAAATAAATCACGTCCCCTGACGCCAAACACTCAAGTTACGCCCCTTCCAGGGGCGTAGTAAGGAGGAGGATGAGGTTGTTCACCCAGGTATCACTTTTTCGTTATGTGGAGGTGCGGCATATTCGGACAAAATCAAAATATTTGGCACTCATGGTGACACTAATATTAGCTACGCCTCTATGAAGTGATCATTTTTATCAGGCCTTAGGGTAGAAATCGAGTGCGCCGATGAATATTGCCTTTATTTAAAAAAAATTAAAACAAGATCATAAAGGTAAACACAGCCAACCAAGAGCATAACTCTCTGGTTAGGATGTGCAGTGGAAGAAGTGGAGGCTTTCACATTATACTTAGGCAGCACCATGCACCTAAATGGTGGATCCGAAGCGGATGTCAGGGCTAGAATTGGCAAGGCTAGGTAAGCATGTGTGCTATTAAAGAAAAGATGGGAGTCAAAGGAGCTGACTCTTCAAACCAAAGTCAGAATTTTAAAAACAAATTAAATGTCAAAGCAGTCCTACTCTATGGGGCCGAAACTTGGAGAACAACAGCAAGCATTACGCAGGAAGTACATACCTTCATAAACACTTTACTTAGAAAGATCCTGTACATCAAATGGCCAAACACCATCACCAACAATGACTTACTAGAAAGGACATATCAGGAGCCGATTGCTGAAGACTTCATAAAGAAAAGGTGGATGTGGATAAGGTACACTCTCCACAAAGCAATGGATAACATCACTGGACATTTCCTAAAATGAAATCCACAGGGATAAGGAAAAAGAGGAAGCCCTAAAAAAACCATGGAGATGCGAGCTAGAGGCAGACATACAAAGTATGGGATGGACCTGGAAGCAACTAGCAAAGGAAAGCACAGGGCCGAGATCATCTCCTTAATTTTTTAAAACTATTTCAAAATCATGGTGCATTTTGGAGTGTAGTTAAATTCAATGTTTCCATTAGACTTTTTGAACAGGGGATGGACATTTTTAAGGGTGTGGGGAGGCATTATGGTGCTAGTGCCATACATAAACTGACTTCGCTCCAATTGTGGCATCCCCATAGTAATCGTTTAGCGCAAGCTTATATCCCACCATATACTGGAAGATTGATCAGCGTGGGGGAAGTGGTCTAGAAATTAAAGGCGCTGAAGATAGTCGCGCAAATTCAAAATGCAGGGGTGCATTTTGGCGCATACTTGAATTCGGTGTTTCTTTGATACATTTTTGAGGTGACATTTCAAACTTTCCAGTGGGAAGCGCCAAAATTGGCCATAATAATGATCAAAGAAACGCAGCACCAGGGGGGGGGGGTGGACATGAACTAAATTCATTCCAGTTGTGGCGCCCTCAACGGCATGAGTTTACCCAAGCTTAATATCGCCTATTAAATCTTTTTTGGTCCCCAGAAAATTGTTGATAATTTCAAAATAAAGGAATTCCTTTTTAGCGAATACTTGAATTTAGTTTTGAAACATTCCTCTTTTTGGAGAGCAGCTGAAGAGACGCTAGTTTTAAAAAAAAATGTAGGTGTAACTTAACCTTAGATACATCGCGTGAGCCCATCAATCTCTACGACTGCAGTGGGCCTCGGATATTTTAGGGACTTCAAGAGAGTGGATATTCTCTCACTTATCACATGTTAATGCAAATCGGGGGGAGGACTAAGCCAAAAAAGTGGCAAATGGTGCCTCGAAACGACGACTCTGCTTGACCTGCTAATGTTCAGCAAAAAATTTTTTTTATATTACTAAATAGAAATGTTGCTTCTATTTTTTATTTTAACCTTTTTAGAGGTTAACTACATAGTTAATAAATGAATTAAAAAAATTATAATTAAATAAATAATAATTCCACCAGAAAAAGCTATGCTAACATCATTTTATATGTTGAATACTTATAATATAACCAGCTTGCGTGAAATAATTACCTTTGCTAAATATTTTACCATGGTAAAAAAAAAACAACTGTTAAGTAGAAAGGTCTATGCCTGAGGCGTAGCGAGGGGGGTAGGGGGCGCCAAAATGTGCTCTGATATTATTTTATTGATGAAAATAATGGGCTTGAGAGTTGAAAAAAAGAAAAAGGGTCTCTTTAAAACGGATCTTGTCCCCGGGCGTGAATCTTGTCACAGGGCGCCAAACACCCTCGCTACGCCTCTGGTCTATGCATCTTTATTGGTTAGCAAAGCTGGGCATTTTTATAAATCGTATATGAACGGTGTTATTAAGTAAAGAAGACATGGGTTGTTTACACAATAGTAGAAATTTCCAAATATTCAGTAGATCGAATTTTTGTTGGAATTTCAAACTACTATAACTTTTTTCAGATAAATTACAAATTGCAACTTAGACACACTTTAAAACATTTTTTATCCACAAAGCTTGCGCAGACACTGGATAAATAAGCAACACTTCGTTGGATATCCGCTTCTGATCCAGCGTTTGGGGCACAATCGTTGGCATAAAAGAAGTACCTGATGGTGTCTGTGGGGACCTTGCATTTCGCATGTAGCCTCCGTGGAACAAGATATGTTTTGGCTTGAAAAGAAAAGACTGGACAGTCAAACGGACCTTTTGGCTAGACGTCCATTCCCAGCAAACAATACTAATCAAGATACACCAGATACTTTAACTTTAAATTAATACAAGAAATAGGAAACCAAATTTTTTTCGAAGAGATCAATAATATTATTTATAGCACAATGTTTAGAGGGGGAGGGGGGATCCAATTCCAACGTCGCTCTCCCTGAAGGCATCAGTCAGTATGGCAGACACCATGATGCTGAGGAGTCTCAGGTCTACATAGGTGGAGAAGAGGTCAACACTCTGTTCCTTGCATTGTTCATGGAAGTGCACGGTCGCGAACACCATCTCAATAGTTCCGCGTTCTTTATGGAAACCGCATGGACCTTCTGGCAGGAGACACTTCTCAAGATGCGTATGTAGACGGTCTAGCAAGATTCTAGCAAATGTCTTGCCTGCAATAGAGGGCAAAGAAATGTCACGATGGGTGACGCAAAATTGACAGCTCCCTTTAGACTACGCTTGCACAGGAGAATAATTGATGCAGCTTTGAAATCCTGTGGAATCGCCTGTTGCTGCCACAGAAATAGAAACAGCCGGTGAGGCCTTTCAGTCAGAGCCGTGCCGCCCTTCTTTGTATCATTCAGCTGGGAGCGAGTCATTACCCGGAGCTTAGCCACTCGAGAGAATGCGTGTAGCTTGTTGGGTGTCGTTTCTTGATTGATGATTGGCACCTGCCGGGGATTTAAAAGGGGGGGGGAGGGGGTGTTGATTTATGATTTCATCATTGATGGATGAAAGTAAGGGGATTTAGGATGCTATCAAAATGTTCAGCGCAGCGTTTGTTAATTTTTACCTTATCAGTTATTAGAGATTGGGGTTGATCCTGATAAAGTGGGGCCGTAAACTTCTTTAAGAGAGAGCAGACATTTTTCAGGTCATGTCTGTCCTCATTGCCACTGGATCGCGCCAGCCTGCGTTTT